ATATATATATATATATATATATAATATATATATATATACACACACACACACACACATACACACATACATATATTCTTTTTTGGATTCTTTCCCATTATAAGTTATTACAAGATATTGAATATAGTTCTCTGTGCTATACAATAGGCCCTTGTTGTTTATCTGTTTTGTATATAGTAATGTGTATCTGTTGATCCCAAATTCCTAATTTATACCCTGCTTTCCCCTTTGGCAATCATAAGTTTGTTTTCTATGTTGGTGAGTCTATTTCTGTTCTCTAAATAAATTCATCTGTATCATTTTTTTAGATTTTATGTATAAGTGATATTATACGGTATTTGTCTTTCTCTCTCTGACTTACTTCACTTAGTATGATTAGCTCTAGATCTATCCGTGTCAATGCAAATGGCATGGCTTCATTCTTTTTTATGGTTGAGTAATATTCCACTGTATGTGTGTGCATGCACACGCGTGTGTAAACTTTTATAATAAAGTTCTTTGTCTCCATATCAAAAATTCTGTGTATTCATTATAGAGAATTAGGAAAATACCAGAAGAGTATGTGGTAGGCAGACTTCTTAGATACCTTCAATAACTGTCACCTCTGGTGTCCATGCTCTTGTGTAAGTCCTTCCTTTTGAGAGTAGGATGGACTTAGCAACTTCCTTCCAACCAGTGGAAAATGGCAAAAGTGATCGGCTGTGACTTTCATGGTAAGATTACAAAAGATCTCTCTCTCTCTTGCCTTCTTGGTTGGCTCACCTTGATGAAACCAGCTGCCGCATTGTGAGTTATGAACAGGCCCACATGGCAGGGAACTGAGGGGGACTTCCTGCCAACAGCATGGAGGGAACCAAAGCCCTCAGTCCACAAGCCCACAGGAGCAAAGTGCTGCCAGCAGCCATGTGAGTAGTTTGGTGCAGCCACTACGGAAAACGATTTGGAGATTCCTTAAAAAACTGAAAATAGACTTACCCTGTGATCCAGCAATCCCACTTCTGGGCACATATCCAGAGAAAACTCTGATTCAAAAGATACATGCACCCCAATGTTCATAGAAGCATTATTTATAATAGCCAAGACATAGAAGCAACCTAAATGTCCATTGACAGGTGACTGGATGAAGTTGTGATATATTTATAGAATGGAATACTACTCAGCCATAAAAAAGAAATTTAAAAAAATGCCATCTGCAGCAACATGGATGGACCTGGGGATTGTCATACTAAGTGAGGTAAGCCAGAAAGAACAAATACCATATAATATGTGGAATCTTAAAAAAAAAAGGGACACATATGAACTTATTTATAAAACAGAGACAGACTCACAGACATAGAAAATAAGCTTACCATTACCAGGAAGGAAAGAGGGTGGGAGGGATAAATTGGGAGTTCAGGATTTGTAGATATACACTACTCTATATAAACTAGACAAAAAACAAGGACCTACTGTACAGCTCAGGGGACTATATTCAATACCTTGTAATAGCCTATAATGAAAAAGACAATGAAAATAATATATATATGTATAAATGAATCACTATGCTATACACCAGAAATTAACACAACATTGTAAATTGACTATTCAATTAAAAATATGTATATAAATTTTTGTTTCTCTGCCAAAGCCTGGAGGTTCCTTCTCTGCTCCGTGCACAGCTGTTTACCACAATGTTCACAAAGCCAAGGTGGGAAGTGGGGCCTCCCCAGCTGCCCAGGTGCCGAGGCAGGAGGTAGACAGGACAGGGATATACTGTGTGTCTACCACAACAGGAAGAAGAACAAAGGGCTCCAAGAACAACGGGAAGACAGAGACTTGGGGACAGAGACAAGGGGGTACAAAGAGGGAGGCAGCACCTGACCTGTGGGGCAGGGATCCCCTCAGCTGGCTGTGCTGGGCGTGGCTTCCTCACCAGGAGCAGGGAGAAGGGCGTGGACAGGTGGCTTTGCCACCTGCCGGGGCTTCACAGCCATCCTCTTTGCCTGACGCGGAAACTGAGGTTCAGAGAGGTGGGGCCCTGAGAGACCACTAGACATTTAATGCTGTTCTCCTGCTGCCTGGGTTCAAGGAGCAAGTGACAATTTCAAGGAAAGGTCACAGACCCTCCTGTGGGCACCATTCTAGACCACAGATGCTCAAGCCTGGGATGGAGGAAGCTAGGGGCTGCCACTACTATTACTGACAACAACAATAACGCCAACCATGCACACGCACCGAGAGCGTTCCTAGGCCATCTGGATTAACCAGGGCTTGCACATAATAGGTATTCAGCTGTTTGTAAAAGGCAGGCAGGCAGGCAGGCAGGCAGGCAGGCAGTCATAAACAACTACCAAGGACAGACCAAGCACTGCGCTAAGTACTTAACAAACATTTTCGTGTTTCTTACATTTAACCCCTACAAGCACCCTACAGAATAGGTAATACCCCCCATTTCACAGATGAGGAAACTGAGGCTCAGTTGCCCAAGGCAGCCCAGTCAGCCACTAGCAGGGCCAGGTCTCCACCTTGGCCTCCCCATCCCAGAGCCCGTCCCATCACACCCACGCTGTTACACACCCACGGATGGAGGCTTGGCTGAGAGGTTTGGCGTAACAAACTGCAGGGTGAACCAGGTCTAGGCCACAAAGTCCAGGGTCAAGCATTGCTTCCAGGGCACACTTGCTGTGTGACCTTAGGCAAGTCACAGGCCCTCCCTGAGCTTCCATTGCCTCCATGGTTAAAGGAGATGGTCCTGTTTGCTCTATAATAATTCCTTTGCAGTGAGACCCTGGGGAAGCCTCACTTGTATGTGGCAATGAACTCACTGCCTTGAGTCCAGGCACATCCCAGGGCCACTTGGGTCTTAGCTTTCCAGCTTCTCCCCTGGCAGTGGCTGCAGAGGCTGGAGTTTGAAGCTTGAGCCAAACACACATCTTGTGTCAGCAGAACCTGCTTATCCAGCATCACCAGACCTGCCCCTCAAAGCCAGGATGTCCCTCGCTTACCTGTAGACGTCCAGCTGAGTCTCGGTGCCCAGCACACACACAGCATAGGTGGGCTGCTCTGGGGCCACATGGATCACTGCCCCCTGGACCATCGTGTAGCTAGCTTGTCCCTCCGCCTGCAGGAAGTCCCTGGGCTGGTTTCTTTACAGCGCTCAGCACCCAGAGGAGGCCATGAGTCAGCACCTGTGGTTTGTGGCCCAGCAGCTCAGCCCCTCCCCACTTCAGGTCCCCGGCATATCTTCTCACTCCTCCTCTGCCCCAGAGCTGCCTCCCTGGACCCAGACCCTGCACGGGCATTGATGCCAGAATCAGGGGCAGCCTGGCTTTGTCAGGTTCCTGGGAAGGGCAGAGGGCTCAGGATCCAAATCACCTTCTCTAGGTTCAAAGCCCATTTTTGTGCCAGACCTGACGCTCTGATGCATTCACATGGCTATTTGCACACAGTAGGTCTTAATAAACCCAATTTCTCTGGCTAGTCATATGATTAGGACTAGTCTGAGATTCTAATGGAAGCTGGAGGAGGGAGGTTGGTTTCCTGGATCCCCACTTTATGCCTTCACACGGTCGCCTTTTTGTAGACTTGTGCCTGATCTTGTGTGGCAGAGCAGAGGCAAAAGGCTCTGTGGTGACAGAGATGAGGCCAGGGGGCCGGGGTCAGCAAGACAAGAGGCAGAGATACCCGGGTGTAGCGCAGGGTATCACCTTTGCCAGCATCTCCAGCTGCGTGATTACATAGCTGCTCCCTGTCTTAGCTCATCTGCCATAAACAGGGGAATGTAACAACAGAAATTTATTTTCTCACAGTTCTGGAGGCTGGAATTCCTAGATCAGGGTCCCAGCATGGCTGGACTCTGGGGAGAGCCCTCTTTCCAGCTTGTAGATGACTGTCTTCTTGCTGTGTTCTCACAGGGGTAGGGGGCAAGGAGAGAGAAAGCGAGCATGCTCAAGTGTTTCTTCTTCCTAAGGGCATTAATCCCATTAGATTAGGGTCCCACCCTCATGACCTAATCTAACCCTGACTATCTCCCAGAGGCCTTATCTCCAAATACCATCACATTGGGAGTTAGGGCTTCAACACATGAATTTGAGGTTGTAGGGGGCACAATTCAGTCCATTGCACTGTTGGATGTGAAGGTTGTTTGTGACTTTCAGCATCATAAGCCAGGCAGCAGTGCATTCATTGTATCCGTGTACGTGGGTCTTTGCAGGGACTTTGTGAATTTACCTTTGTCTCCATTCTCTTGCAAAAGTATTTGGTTCTTTTCCTGAAATTTGCTACAGCTTGTCATTGTGTGTGTGTGTTCAAATGTCTATTCTCCAACTAGCCATGAGAGCAGGGCCTTTGACAATCTTGGCTGCACCCGCAGTGCCTAGAACAGCTCCTGATTCACTAAATATTTGTGGCTGAAGATTGCAGTGTTTTCCAGCACCCAGCTCTGCTCTTGACCCATGGTGTTGAGGGGGAGTTAGAGGAGGGTACTGAGGACAGTTTCCAAGAGCTACCCTCGCAGAAGACATTAACCCTTTCATAGCTGGAAGGGGGCCCTAGGGCTTGGGAAGCAAACCCTCTTGCACATAAGGGCAGCTGGCTCAGAATTCAGGCCAGAAACCCCAGAGGAAGGGGCCCTTTCTTTCTGCTGAAAAGCAGAATCCCCAGCCCAGTGGAAGCTCGGTGGTGGGAGGGTTGCCCAATGCCCTCTGGGTGTTTGGGGCCCGGGTCACTGGGCACCTGAGCTGACGCCCCAGTGACTGGCCTGGCTATCCTCCACCAGGTGGGTGGGATGACGTCATTCTGGGAAGAGGGATCGGCATCGGGGATCTTCCCCAGAGGCTGCAGGACTGCGATGGCGCACAGCTGTGTTTGGAGGAGATGGCCAAGACATTTTTTTTCTTTTTTGAAGAGGGGGTAATTAGGTTTATTTATTTACTTATTTTCTTACTGGAGGTAAGACATTTCTTCATTCATAGATACAATTCAGATTCAATTATTTCACTCTCCACTCAACAAATACTCATCAAATGCCTCCGAAGTCCCTGGCATTCTCTTAGAGGCTAATTAGGCTTTGTCTAAATTGACCACCATCAATTAAACACCCACAATATGCCACACTTGTCACCAGGTCCCTGGGCTGTATTATTTCTCATTCTCACGACAACCCAGTGGGCAGGACTTACAATCTCATTTCTGCAGAGGAGGGAAGCATGGTGCTCAAGGCCACAGGACTTCTAAGTGGGCTTCAAACCCAGCTTTGTCTAACACTCTGCCTTCTGATGTGGCCCTTACCTGTGTCAGTTCACTAACAAGCATTATCTGTAATCCTCATAACAAACTTAATGCCTTAGTTGTACTCTCCCCATTTTCCAGATGAGGAAACTGAGTCTTGGAGGGGTTAGGTAACTCACCCACAGTTGCACAGCCTGGAAGCAGTGACACTTGGGTTTAAATTTGCCCCTTGTCCCACTCTGGGCACCATGCAGCTGCCTCCTGGTCAGGTCCCTTGGCCAATGAGCTCTGAACTCCCTTCAAGCACAGAGACCCTCCAGTCTCTCCAGAACTTCAAGTAGAAAATGGGAGGGTCAAGATCATCCAGACTCACCCAAACTGGCAAATCTCCATCTCTTACCAAGATGTTCATCTAAGAGCCGTGTGCCTGTACTTTCTCCCTCTCTGCTCCCACAGCCCTGCAGCATCCTCAGCACCTCTCCCTGCCCTCCTTCACAGAACCCCTCCAGGCCCTGGAAGGATCTGGGCACAGAAGAGCAACATCTGACTCGAAGATGCACCAGGCCCCACGCTGCACCGTTTTTTAGAACATGCCTCTTGGTCCTGTAAAGTCCAGGGCCCAGAAGCCATAATGGAAGACGATGAAGCCTGGGGTTGCCACTTGGCCTCACATCTGGGGCCGCTGTCCTGTTTTACACTGCGCATGGCCTCCGATGGCTGCATCACACTGTCTGGGCACCATCCTTTCATTCAGTGACTAGGCATTTGTTGTGTGCCACGCCCTCTTCCCAGGTCTTAAGGAATCCAGGGAGAAAGCCTCGATTTTTCTGGGATGTTCTGCTGTCAAGTATGCTATCCCTACACACGCTTCCTTAACTGCCTCTGTGTGGAAAGTGGTACAGCCTGGTGTTCCCAACCAATAGCACTGACTGGCGGGTACCGAGCTCAGGGCAGGCTCCAGGTCTAGCCCCTGACACGCACCGCCTCACGTGATCCCTCTCTCCACCCCATGAGGAAGGGGTTATCACCCTTACTCTGTAGGCAAGGAAACTGAGGCTCAGAGAGGGTGAGTGACTCAAATGAGTTCACACACTGGTGGTCAAAGAAATCAGGATCTGAACCCAGATTGAGCTGATAGCAAAGCCTTAACTGCAAATCTTTACTGGCTGATTAGCGAGGAGAAGGGAAAAGACTCCAGACCCTCTGGTCTACTGATTGAGATTCATTCCACAGACATCAGCTGAACACACCTTTGCGCCAGGCATGGCCAGGTTTTAGGGACACAGAAGACAGAAGGGTCCTTGCCTTCAAGGGACATGAAACAAAAGTCAAAGAAACAGAACCAATAGGAGATCTCTCTCTCTCGGAACATACATACATATATATATACATGTATATTTCATGTGCACATGAGAGAGAGAAAGAGCTTAAACGTGAGAGTGATTTTAAAGAATCAGCTCACCTGATTGTAGAGGCTGGTGAGTCCCAAATCTGCAGGGCAGGCAGGTTAGAGACCCAAGGAACTGCTGATGTGCAGCTTGAGTTTGAAGGGGTCTGCTGGAAGAATTCCCTCTTCCTTGGAGGATGTCAGTCTTTTTTCTTCTAAAAGTCTTCAACTGATTGGGTGAGGCCCACCCATATTATGGAGGGTGATCTGCTTTACTTGAAGTCTACTGATTTAAATGTTAGTCTCATCTGAAAAAAAGTACCTTCGCAGTAACATCCAGACTGACCGAATATCTGGGTGCCACGGCTTAGCCAAGGTGACACATAAGATTAACCATCACAGAGCACATAGTTTAGGACAAGTGTTAATTAATACTTTTGGGGTTACTTGTCCTTTTGAGCATTTAAAGAAGGCAGTAGAGATGCCTTTAGCGTTCCTTCCCTTGCAGATGGGGAAGTTGAGGCTTGGGGAAGAGCTGTTACTGGCCTAAGGTCATGGGCGAGTTGGTGCAGGACCAAGATGGGAGTCTCCTCTCCTGAATCCCTGTTAGTGCTCTTCATCTTCTGGAAGCTTCTTAGTTTGGGTTTCCCCAGAGGAGACTCTGAGACAAAGATGTGAGTGCAAGTCGTCTATTTGGGAGGTGCAGGATACACTGAGAGGGGATGGGAAAGTGAGACAGGGAGGGAGCTCTCAGTGATGGTGTGTTAGTGAGATGGTTACCATGGTTACCACTTGGGGGCGACTGGGGAGCCCCGAGAAGTGGTGTGGAGCTTGTGCCCCAGAGCAAGTCCACCCAGGAGCAAGGGAGCCTGAGCATCAATGCACCCACTCTCATCAGTCTTTGGTTAAGGGCTGCTCCTGGAGGGGCATTAGATCCCCGCACTTTGATCAGCAGGCTCTGGTGGACAGAGAAAGCCTCTGGGCAGGTGCTGGCACTTGGGAGCTGGGCCTCTGTGAACTGAAGAGGGAGTGGGGGGCACCGACAGCAACTGTTATAGGAGGTGGGGGATATCCCCATCTCTTCAAGAAACAAGACAGCTGGGGATACATCCCCTCTGAAAAAGGCACATGGAATATTTTGCCTACAGTTTGATGGGTTCACACACCCCTGGGGATTCCGGTTGACAAGCTCTATCTCCAGTGACTCTTCCTTCCTCTCCCCACCCACCCTCGCCAGGAGGTAATCAAGGCTTTATTGACACAGCTGCCCTCCACCCACATGCGCTCAGGGACTCTTCCGGAGAAAAGGGGCTCAGTGATGACATTGCAGTTTGGTCACCAGCGTGTGGGTGCCCTCCTCTTCCCTGAGCTTCAGAGCACCTGGCCCCTGGCAGTCCATCCCCAGCATCCCTCTCCGGGGGTTGGCAAATCCCCTGCCATCTGCCACTGGAGGTGGGGATCTGCTCTTGTTCTGGCCAGTGTGAGCCGTGTTGATGAACTTGATCCACTCCTGCT